GCGCAATTGGGAAGGATGACATGTGTCAGACATGGTTTTGAGAATGAGTTAGTCGCCGTTACGAGGAAGGCTCAGTGATGTAGTTCGCCCGTTTTGAGGAAGGCTCAGGGATGTAGTTAGACATATTCTACCCCGGATCTTCATGGGTCGGGTGGCTCAGTAATGAAGTTAGACATAATGATCGTTTTGAGGAAGGCTCAGTAATGAAGTTAGACAGAATGATCGTTTTGAGGAAGGCTCAGTAATGTAGTTAGACAGAATGATCGTTTTGAGGAAGGCTCAGTAATGTAGTTAGACAGAATGATCGTTTTGAGGAAGGCTCAGTAATGTAGTTAGACAGAATGATCGTTTTGAGGAAGGCTCAGTAATGTAGTTACACAGAATGATCGTTTTGAGGGTGGCTCAGTAATGTTGTGGGGTGTGATATCCATGATTTGAAGAACACCGTCACATGGACATGTGGTTAGGCACTACTCCGGTAACAACACTCTGGAAGCACACGTGGTGGGCATCGTTTGTGTTACCGGATGACAAAGCAAGACCACACAGGGCTTGTATTGCTGTTGAGTACCTTCAGCAGGACACAACCATGTATCCATGGCGAGTACTGAACCACAGACCACTCTCAGCGACAATCGTGGTGCCCTGAAGGAAGAACTGAGTTGACATTGGACGATTGATTACGGGTGCTGAAACACACCAGCACCATGTTTGATTCAAACTCCCAAACACAACAGCCTAGTGCATGTGGAAGACAGACTTCCCTTGCAGCTTGTGGCAACTGAGCACTGGCAGTTGTGAATCGGTTTCGAAGGATTTGGAGCACAACATATCGGTCATCTCCCTTGATGTTTTTTCTGGGTCTCTCAGAGCGAGGTCTGTCCTGTACTCTACCAGTGGCCTGGAATCTGTCCTACAGTCTGTGAATGACAGAGGGAGACACCTGAAGGTGGCGAGCAACACTTTTTATGGATTCACCATCCTGTAACCATGCAATGCACTGTTTCTGTCGTGCGCGCTTAACAGTTTGCTGTTCATGGTGAAGAAGTTGTGAAGCTTCAATGCTGACTGACTGAGTTTAGTTTTACGCCGCTTTTAGCAATATTCCAGCAATATCACGGCGGGGACACCAGAAATGGGCTTAACACATTGTGCCCATGTGGGGAATCGAACCCGGGCCTTCGGCGTGACGAGCCAACGCTTTAACCACTAGGCTACCCCACCGCCCGCTTCAATACTGTCTGTAGCTTCTTTTAAAGGAAACGTTGCCACTAGCTGCATGGGAAGTCTGCCTTCCACATGCACTAGGCTGTTGTGTTTGGGCGTTTGAATCAAACACGGTGCTGGTGTGTTTCAGCACCCTTGTTTTTCGCTGATTTTGACAAATTTTCATTTCACTCAAACTCAACGAATATTGAATCAGTTGCTTCACTGCATGTTCCAACATGTCGCCGAAAGTGCCCATTAAGCACACAAAAAAGTTACATTTACCTTAGAGAATAAATGAACTCACCACGTTTAAGTTTATAGATGACTATCAAATTTTAGGGTGTTCCCATACTTTTTGTTTGTATATTTTACTAGGAAAGTCATCCATTTTGTCAAACAGTCTTGTTGAGTTTTCTGCCACTCCAAATCTTTGTTCTATAAATCTAAATATGTTACGTGGGTAACCAAGTAGACTTTTAATAGTTATTTGATGGTTATTCAGTGATATTATACCATCGATCTACCCGAAGCTTAAGTTAAACTTTTAAGCTAAATAACCTGCTTTGACTTTCCCAATCCGAGTGAAAATTCTGATTTTATTTTTCAAGATGCTGGTCAGAATGTTTGGGGATCACAATTGGTGTAATACGATGACACGTTATCGACCGAATCATTGACTGCTCTCGATCAAGTTGACCATCTTAAACGAGTTTGTGTGCTGGCGATTAGGTGCCTGACTCTGAGGGTGTGGGTTATAATTCCGGACGGGACTGAACCCAACAAAAGTACTAGAATCTGTACTTTACTAGGAAAGTGTAATCCCAAACATAACATATGTTACAAGGATTAACACATTTAACAAGGCAGGACGAATAATAGGTTTCCTCCCACAGGCAGTACTCACGTCAAAATGATGTATAATTTTAGGAGCCTACGAGACATATTAATGATTCATGTATTAAGACTGTCACTTTTCACAATGTCTAAATAAAATTACATTCAATTGACCATATATTATTGACAAATTTAAAAGCAGAAACATGTTTTCGCAATGTTATTGACAAAAATCCCCAATTCTCGGACACATCCCGGTAATGAGTCCACAGCTTAATGGCCAAAGTGCCAACTAACGTACACCTAAGTTACTATTAACATCTTTTCGAGTGACCGTGTAATGTAAGTCAAGTGATATCTCAGCTTTCGTCGCCTGGATCTTCACGCTCGAACACGATTATCAATGCCATAAATATATGCTCGAGAAAGTTTTGTCACACGAAGGTGGACGCATTGGTGGCGATCTGTCACTTAACACGGATATACTATTGATGTCCAAAGCTGTCGAACGACACCTAACATCAAACAAATCTCCTCGCGTGTTATTGATGTTAGGCTTCGAAAACGGAGGTATTTCCCACAGCTGTGTCAAGTTACCGAGCGGAAAGCCATGGTCATCGGGAATAGGCAACCATACATATCATTTAACAAATATTTTAATAATAATTTTCCGATTACGTAAAAATGAAAGTCTAAAAGAAATAGGTAAGTGGATAGATATGGCTTTCTTCTTCTTTTATCTGGACATAAATGTGTAAGCTTCTATGTCCATTAAAAACAACATATTTATGTTGTAGTTGTATTAATTGATAAATAGAGAATTTCGCCAAAGTGTCAACTGGTATCAGTTATATCAACACGAGTTGATAAAAGTTACAAAGGAAGTGTGTTTTTACTTTTATGAACAAGTGTTGATATATTTGATATCAGAAAACATGAGGGTGAGATTCTATTTAACATAAAAAATCACTCTTCATTGGTTTTCAATGAAAACTGCACATCTCTGAACACGGTACTGCCATTAGATTTGCAGTGCAGCGATGTCATAGCACTATCAGGGTATTGTACAAAATCTACTGTCAAAACGATTATCTCATTGGAGATATCGTTTGATCTCACAAAAGCAATATCTCTAGTGGAACACAGTTTATGATAATACAATCAACTTACATCTGTATCACACAGTATAAATAGAAGTTTCTAATGGTGTATGACATGTAGTAACAATTATGTTTTACAAGCCGATATTTTCCGACTCTTACCCGGACTTCCCACATCGAATTAGACTAAAGTATCCATATTGGGTGAAACGAAATAGTCCCAATACCGTAACAGGTAACCTGGGTCCCCTTCGACTTGTCGTAACTCTATAGTTTATCATTGGCTTACGAATGACGTTTTGTGGATCGAGACCCAGAGCCTGTTTCCGTGAAACATTACAGTTCAACTACCAGAAAGAAAATCCGTTCTAGTCTTCGATTTATACGGATGCGTCGCTGTAATAGGCAACCATGCAACAGTTGTCGGTAGGTTTGTCAGCGGAATAAAATAAAGTGATGAAAAGACCCATTTAATTTTAAGCATTTTCTCCCGAGTTTTGGGGAGTTGGCAGATTTGTTAAACGTTAAAGAAGGTAATAGAACTCTGACCTGGAAGGTCGATAATCTGACATCAACCGTTAACACATAAACGATGTATATTGTTTTGACCGATGTATACTTGCTGGCGTACTGGATCTATTATCGCATGTGGAAAAGGACGTATGGTGAGGTTGATTGGCCAAAACATGGGACACCAGATGGATTGAATTGATTGTTACACAGGATCGCCCACATAAAAAACTGATTGACTCATTGTTTATCTTGACTGACTCACCTATGGCACTGGTTAGAGACATGGATGCATACAGTTAATCCAGGATGCTCTGAAGCCGAATATTACACCTTTGATACTGACAAACTCACCTCTAACACTTTTGATACAAATTGCAATATATGTTAAGCTAGTATATGCACATCCTTTTGACTCACATTCTTATCTCTCTTCTGATACTGGCTGACTTGCCTCTGATTCTGTTTGCATTCCTCTGATACTAGTTGACTCACCTCTGGACATGTGAAGAACCGGGTTAAATTGGTTGATGCATGCAACCATGTCCACAATACCAGATCCATGGTTGTATGGTAATGCGTCAAGTGGTCCTATAGCTGAGATCAGTGCTAAATTGCAAATCAAATGTCTTACTTCTGATTCTGTATGATTCTCCTCTGAATCAGAGTCACTCTCCTTGTATATTGGTTGACGCACCTGAACTTGATTTACTTTATTCGTATACTGGTTGACTCTCCTCTGAATTTGATTCACTTCCCTCCCGTATTTGTTGACTCACCTCTGGCATGGGTTGACTCACATCTGATACTGTTCTACTTACCTCTGAAACAGGGTCGCTTGCGTTGTATGCTAGTTGACTCACCTCTGAATTCGATTCACGTCATTCGTATACTGGTTGACTCCCCTCTGAAACTGATTTAGTTTCCTCGTATACTGGTTGATACTGGTCAACTCACATCTGACATTGTTTGACTCACCTCTGATACTGTTCGACCCACATCTGATACTAGTTGACTAACCTGTGATACTGTTCGATTTACCCCTGATACTCGTTGGCTCCCCCTTGATACTGGTTGACTCATCTCTGATACCGGTTGACTCACCTCTTATACACCTCTGATACTGATTGACTCACCTCTAATACTGGTTGACCCATCTCTGCTACCGGTTGACTCACCTCTTACACACCTCTGATACTGGTTGACTCACCTCTAATACTGGTTGACCCATCTCTGATACCGGTTGACTCACCTCTTACACACCTCTGATACTGGTTGACTCACCTCTGATACGGTTTGTCTCACCTCTGATACTTATTGACTCACCTCTGATATTGGTTGACTCACCTCTGATACTGGTTGATCAGCTGCCACACCTGCATAAGGATGTTTCCTGTTGCACACAAGAGAAGCAGAAGCCAAATCACTTTGAAAAGCCAGTGACTCTTTGCGTGTAGTTTGCGGACGCCATGAGCTGATGTATTGTCCGCAAAGTCGCCCAGCATCTGCAAAGCAGACACCCTCTTACCAGCGGCCATCTTCAAAATGATGCTTGTGTGAGAAAAGGAACAACGATTGTGTTGTCGCATGGGACTGTTCATCTTTAATGATATCTGAAAGCGGGATTGCGTACCTTTGTCCTGTGTATAGTACAGTTAAGTGTCATATTCATTATTCATACAAGTAAACTAAACACATTTCAGTTGTATTGTCCAATAGGTAAGAGCTTGAAGTTAAGAGGTAATTTACTGGAAAGCATTTTTTACGGGCTGATTTTCGTTATATTCCAGTGTTAAGCGACCCTTCTGTTTCAGATTCACAATAGCTATGTAGTTGGGATACCTCATTCAAGTTCAACACGGATGTTGTATGCAACCTTAAGACACAGATAGTATCTTCTAGAACGACTTTAGGAGACGTGTAACGCAGATACCATGTTCAAATTCCCTGACATCACTACGATGGTACGTGGCAGTAATTGCCAGGAATAACACTGAGTGGTTGAGCAATGGTTGGGTGACCATCCAGAGAAGTTCGGTTATTTGGGATGTCGTCAGCAAAGAGACTATGCTTGTTTTCCAAGTCTCTTTGAAAATCTGATCTCTGACATCTCACTAATAATTGATTCAAATGGTCTTAGTACGAATGCCTATGGGACGGACGGACGGGCAGTGGGTTAACCAAGATAACTGATGCATGCCATTGTGTCCTAATTGTTATGTATGAGTGAGTGAGTTAATATTTAACGTCACGTCGGCAATATCTCAGCCATATCGTGGCGAGAACATATTTGACATTCAAATGGAATATATGTACATGATAAAAAACCTGTCTACGAAGGACAGTAAAACAACTAGAATATCACAATTACAACTAAAACTGGTGTGGAAAGTTAAAACTAATAGCACTATTTGGACAATACAATATAAAAACTGGCTATAGATCGCCAACAACTGCGATGACAAAATGACAAGAATACTACATTTAAAACAGCTGGGAAACTTAAATTTTCTTTGAATGTTTCGGGACTTACGTACCCTCTTAGGAGGACAATAATTTTACGCTACTTCAACCCCCTTTGAGGGTACAGCCACTAACAATCTCAGTTACTAATCTAAACTACCAATAATAAAATATGTATCTATTTACAAATCAGTTAACAAGTCTAATTCTTTTAAAAATGCAATAATTAAATGAGAACTTATATTAGTAAAAAGATCCTTCATGGTTCGTGATTTGAAATAGTTATCCCTTGTGATGGAATATTCAACACAGTCAAGCAAGACATGCTTGATCGTGATTCTTTCATCACAAGGGATACAAAACGGAGGATCCTCACCTTTTAATAGGTACTCATGAGTATATCTTGTGTGGCCAATACGACATCGTCGTATGATGACCTCTTCAAATCTGGACTGACAACCCAAGTAGGTGTAACCGATAGTTGGTTTTATTGTATGTAATTTATTGATACCTAGTTGGGTGTCCCACTTCTTTTGCATCAGATCACGGATATAAGATCTAATAGCAGCTTTGTAATCAGAGTATGGGATCAGAAGTGGTGTCACAGATTTGTTGAGTGCTGCCTTAGCAGCAAGATCGGCCATTGTGTTCCCAGAAAAAACCAACTTGGCTGGGTACCCAACAAAAGACGATGTCGCATTGGCCAGTAGCAAGCTCATTATACAATACAAGAATTTCTAATAAAAATGGATGTTTGCAAGAAAGATTTTTAATAGCCTGAAGACACGAAAGAAAATCAGAAAAGATTATGTATTGTTTATATTTACGGTGTTTATTAATATATTTAAGTGCTGTTAATATGGCGTTAGCTTCCGCTGTGAAAATAGAGCTGTTATTTGGTAGTCGAGAAGATGTTGTTCGGGATCCAATGACATTGGCACAAGCAACTGCGCCACCATCATTGGATCCATCTGTAAATAAGGATTTGTATGTGTTACATTTTTTAATTGATTATATTCTTGTTTATATTGTAATTCATTAGGTTCAGCTTTCTTAAACTTTGTCAGTGTGAGGTCAACTTGTGGTCTCACTAATTGCCAAGTAGGAGAAGAAAGGGGACGGGAAGGAGCTATATTGTCCAGCTCAATGCCGGCAGCAGAAATGAATGGTTGAATTCATAGCCCAAGAGGCGGAACAAGAGAAGACTTTTTGTTGTACAAATCCTTATAGAGAGGTTAAAAGACACAATTAAAAGCAGGGTTAAATTCGTTAGATTATAGTTTGGTAATACATTGTAAAGATAATTTTATACGGCGTTGGGTAAGAGAAGAGTCATCTGCCTCAACATAGAGACTGTCAACAGGAGATGTTCTGAATGACCCAAGACAAAGTCTCAGACCTTGGTGGTGGACGGAATCTAAAAGTTTTAAGTTGCTTTTGCAGGCTCCACCATATACGATAAGTTTAGATCGTACCAATGATCTGTATAAGGGAAGGAGGATAGTTTGATCCCTTCCCAACTTAGAATTTGAAAAAACCTTTAACAAATCTAGTGCCTTCAGGCATTTAGCTTTAAGGGATTTAATGTGTGGCAAGAAGGTTAAATGAAAATAAAAAATTAGACCCAAGAATTTGGCCTCCTTTACAACTTTGATGGGAGTGCCATTTTAAGATAGTTCTGGGTCTTTATGCGGCTTATATTTTCTCCAAACGAGTAGACAATTAGTTTTTGATTTAGAAAATTTAAAGCCGTTTTCAAGACACCATTTATTTATTTTATTTAAACACAACTGCAATTACCGTTCAATAGTATGCATATTTTTACCACGACAAGAAATATTAAAATCATCCACAAAAAGTGATCCATCAATTGAATCGTTTAAAACCTTGGATAAACTGTTGATCGTGATACCAAATAAAGTAACAGACAAAATACTGCTTTGTGGGACACCCTGATCCTGATCATAATGGTCAGACAGGGTTGAACCCACTCGGACTTGAAATCCTTAAAAACTGTGATATAAAAAGAGGTAAACCAAAATCATGTAAATCCTTCAAAATGCCATGCTTCCAGGTCGTATCATAAGCTTTCTCAAGATCAAAGAAAATTGATACTGCATGTTGTTTAGTTACTATTGTATTTTTAACAAAGGATTCTAAACGTACCAAATGATCAATGGTACTACCATTTTTCCTGAAACCACATTGGATATTGGATATCAGGTTACTGGTTTCAAGATACAAAGTTAATCTATTATTCACCATTCTTTCCATGGTTTTACAGACACAACTCGTCAAAGAGATTGGTCTATAATTAGACGGATCAGTATGATCCCGGCCAGGTTTTGGAAGAGGGACTACAATGGCATTGCGCCAGGAAGTGGGGAAATTCCCTGAAGTCCATATTGAATCAAAAATACTTATAAATGTTTCCAAACATGATTCCGGTAAATGCTTCAAGAGCTGATAGTGAATAGTGTCAGCTCCTGTTGCAGTATCATGAGCTTGCTCAAGGGCAGTGTGGAGCTCATGTAATGAAAATAATTCATTATAGTCATCGCCATTGTCTGAGTTAAAATTTATTCTCTTCTTCTCCTGTTGTTTCTGATATTTTTGAAATTCTGGGACGTAGTTTGATGAAGAAAAATATTTGGCAAGAGTTTCACCAAGCTTATTTGCAATGTCAACCTTATCAGTTAACAAAGTTCCACCAGCCTTCAGATGGTGGACTGTAGATTTGGAACCTTTGCCTTTTATTCGTTGAATCATGTTCCACACCTTTGAAATAGGTGTGCCTGAATTGATTTTGGAAACATAGTCTATAAGACTGACGCTTAGTCTGTTTAAGTGCGTTGAGCCATGGCATTTAAAATTTAACTTTATCTAAATTATGGACTGTAGGATGTTTGCGGAAAAACTTTTCAGCTTTCTTCCTACTCTTTCTGGCCTGTTTACACTCATTGGTAAACCATGGTTTACGAATATGTGGAATTGCAGAGGACTTGGGTATAGTTTGGTCAGCAATGTCATTAAGTATATCAGAAAACAATTGTATAGGATCTTCACTGTTCCTGAAAAGGTCATGTTTTAAGTGTTCAACATACAGAGTCTCATATAATAACCAATCAGCCCTGGCTAGGTTCCTTCTCGATAAAGGTGGATCATCACCAGGGTTGATTCTTTTGAGAATGGTGGGGAAGTGATCACTTCCACATAGGTCATCTGTTATGTGAGGTGAGGTGAGGTGAGGTGAAATTGGGTTTAACGTCGTGCTTGAGAATATTTCGCTCATACGACGACGTGTGTATGTGTATGGGCGGCTGCTTGTACTAGCTCAGACTGAAGCTGGTTTTATAGTGCTAGCGCACTGAGATACCATGCCGCAGTGAAGCATGAATACCCCACTCAGACACATTATACTGACTCCGAGCCGACCAGTCCTTGTTGTACCCATTAATGCCGAGCGCCAGGCAGGGACCAACAAGTACCATATTTTAACGTCTTTTGGTATGACGCGGTCGGGTGGTCGAAACCGCGACCTTCCGCTCTCCGGGCGAACGCTCTAACCACTTCACCATGGAGTCGGTCTTCATCTGTTATGTATGTATGTATGTATGTATGTATGTATGTATGTATGTATGTATGTATGTATGTATGTATGTATGTATGTATGTATGTATGTATGTATGTATGTATGTATGTATGTATGTATGTATGTATGTATGTATGTATGTATGTATGTATGTATGTATGTATGTATGCATGTATGTATGTATGTATGTATGTATGTATGTATGTATGTATGTATGTATGTATGTATGTATGTATGTATATGCATGTGTATGCATGTATGCCTAAATATATGTAATGTATGTGTATGCCTGGGAGAATGTGGATGCATGTGTGTTTGGTGTGAATTGGGTAATACTCAATTATTGAAGGGTCACCCATATGAATGACTGGCAGAAATTAAAGCTGCTTTAATCATATTCAGAGTTGACAGTAAGACAAGCATTAGTTGTTAGAGGTTACAATCATGATTAACGATTATGGCATTAGTAGTGGGAACAACATTTAAACCACAGAAAATAATGAAAAAAAGTAAGC